AAGATGGATGCAGAAAAAACAATATTGAGCTATGTGCATGTGTATCAATATATCTCTCTATATATAAGACAGATATATAAATATACCAGGCACACATGTGCTTATGTAGTCGGAGCGAAACTGCGTATGTAGGTCGTTGTTGACCTTCAACTGACAATCGATGACTTGAATGGCGACTATTGAAATCGTTTTGCTTCTTTTGTGACTCACGTACTTCCGTCTTATAAAGGATTGAATATGGATTGTATTACAAAAGAGAACAAAAACACATATGGGGGAAAGCAGCGGACTTACTCAAATTTAACAAGTTTGCAACGTTCTCTGATATGAGCAACGGTTCTTTATCAATTTACCTTTTAATCGAGCAAGTCATTTAGAACAGTCGATTTAATAAAAATATAGAAATATATTATGTTACATGTATTAATATATATGTGGTTGGTTTTATGTTTTAAATAAAGCTGTGTGTGAGCGTATCTGAGTTCCTTACACTAAAACAAAAGCAGAAAAGAAAACTCTGTTGCCACAGTATTGAATTACGAATGGATAAACAATATGGAATCCAATTATTTATAACAACTTGCGTGAATCATATGAAAAGAAAGAATACTCGAAGCGAGAGTGCTCGGCTGGTAAGTACTTTCAATCGATACAGCTGTTCGATAAGGCTAGGGTATTGCAGTGTCTATATATTGAATTTGTTTACTCTTTAATCTATATTCATTTGAAGTTTGTTATCGACTTTCATTCCTTCCCTCGGACGGATTCTGGAAACAAGAGCAGATTGAATCAAGTCGACTCGACCACCATATGCAATGTTTTCTCAAGAAAAAAAGCAAAGAAAAAATTCAATAACTTGAAATCGTAATGTTAAATAATATCCGTTGACATTTAATAATTTCAGCTGCATCAATATTACAGAGAAAATCTATTGAAAAGCAGCTGGAAATGCCAACAAGTGACTGTGACAGCACCTGAGTCACTTTTTTCAGCTAACAATACGAAAGGTGCATGGAACAGAAATAAAATAGTCTCCCGGGTTCTTCAGATAAATCAAGTAGACAAACCCTCAAATAAATCAAACAAACCCCATGCGTAAGTTTCTCAGCAGCAGATGACCCAGTTTCCGACAGAGCCAGAGCCCCTCTGCACATAGATAGATACCCCAATGATCCCTCCTCGGAGTGATATTTGTCTGCTTCGTGCTCGCTGTTGGGGCGAGCGCAGCCACTTGAGTTTGCTATCTTGGCATTATGTATAATACGTTATTTGATTTACACATTTTTGACCCCAATGCGAGAATGTTTTACATTTATTTCTAATGACAGGGGCGCTTCTGGTTGCAGCTCTGATCAAGTGCCAAATGGGTTTCCTACCAGGGTTCATTAATCCTAAATGATGAACAAGTAGCGTTATCTACAAAGTTTCGGGAATACTAAACAAAACGAGCTATCTGTTATGGGACATACTTTTAGAGTTACGAATACTTTACACTGGACTACAAGAACTCTTGTAGGAGAAATCAAGGGACATGACATGATTCTAAAGAGTCTTCCACTCGTTCAGGGATTGCAAAGATCTTATGCGATGTTCGTATTGTTTTCCGGCGGCGTAAATTTAGTTTACTTTGCAATTCTAGCCTAATCCAGAAAAACTACAGAAATAAACTTGGGAACACTAACACTAATTATTCATGTATCACAAAAATCAAATTATATTTTGTTGTACAGTGCAATCAAACATACACATATGTATGTACACACATCCACCTCGTGTGTAGGCGTCGATGACAACTCACAGACTCTTCATATATGGCCTGGATATTCAAGTATGAAAACACTTTACATTCGAGTTTGGCAAACAATTAATAAAGAAATTTATTTTGTTATTCAATTATTCGTATCTATCTGCGTATGCGAGCAGCAAATTTTGGACACGAATGCGAAACTCCTATTTGGCCTTAGATATTTGCATAAATATTTACACTTGGAAAAATAATTACATGAAGCCAATCAAAATCTGTGAGAAACAGAAAAACAAAATGTAAATATTGAAGTTAAGCATAATTAATTCATTGAACTGAAATTAACACCGTTTCGATCCGGTTAGGTGGCAGCAAAGCTATTGCGACATAGCTGAACCCCAGCCGAACGAACAGCTGGTTCATGTCAAGGTGCGAAAGAGAGACAGCGAGAGAGAGAGAGAGAGCGTCGGCGAGAGAGCTCCAGAGAGCGCGCATACATATTTGATAAAGAGAAAAATCGATTTTTCAAAACAAATTCAACCTTTTGCCACTGCCACGGGGTTGTATGAAAAAACATTCATTTAGAGAACGGAATTCATATTAATTATATTTTCAGCTGCATGCACACTTACTTAAAGAATGTATATAACGTAATCAAATGAACTCCGTTACGAATAACACTTTGCAACACACTTGGCCATTGTTTCAATTATATACACATGACTCTCGAATCGATAAAGCTCCAGCACGTAGTTTTTATAGAACTGTGCGATAATATGCATACGTATACTTTTACATTTATACGTATATATGTATGTGTGTTTAAAGAATATACATACTAAACACTTGCAAATTAATCAGTTGCCACACACGAACTTTTCCTTGAGCACTTGCCATAGATTAGCATTAATGTTGAAATGCACTACGCACTGGAAACGAAATTCTCAACACGCTCGGAGAGAGCAAAAGACAGCGAAAGACAGCGAAAAAGAGAGAGTGCAAACGTTGCGTTATGGTGGGATAGAGCGAGGGGCACTGCGGGTGTGGTGAATACAACGAAACGCGCCTTGTGCCCTGTATATACACACACATTGATTAATCAATACGTGCCGCAAACAAATAATAAAATGTTATTTATACGTTAAGAACACCAACCACTTTGTTTAAACAATAAACTTGTTGTTTTTGTTTTTATTTTTAACTAAGAAAATAATCGAATAAACGCAACGACCGTCCGAACGAACAAACCCAATAAACGGGCGACGCGCAACCGTCGCTGTGGGCCGCTGCTTTGTAACTCATCGAGGCGTTCGCGCTCGCACTCGCACTCGCACTCACGCTCGCTCCACAACTCGCTGTGGCGCTGCCGCAGCATAAGCAGCGACGTCGCCTGCTCTCCAGGCGCATAACTTGACCAACATAATCGCATATGTAAGTGCAGAGCAACGGCAGAGAGACGGAAAGAAAGAGAGAGAGCGAGTTCTTAGTCACCCGTTGGGTGGGAGTGCATGCAATAAAACAATGAAATTGGAACATTCTGTGTGACACACAGTCGGGCTACCTGATAAGCTACAGTTACTGTTAGCGCACCGGGAAGCCAAATATCAGAGCAGATCGTCTCGTAGTATATGTATGTATGCTTATATAATTAGCGTTATAAATGGGCAATTTGTGCAGGTAAACAAACGAAGTAGTTTGATCAATGAGTACTACATATAAGGAATACCCCCAACCTATCAACTGAAATTTCAAAAACTTTCAATGCGCAGGCCCATAAAAATATCTCTTTGGAGCATGGAGTTTGGGGTAGCATTAAAAAAGAAAAACCATCCATAATATATTATTTATGTTTATATTGCATGCATAACAGTTGAATAAACTCTACACACTCTCTGCCAATAAGATAAGACAGCCGTCCAATAAAGCCAGCTTTTACTGTATCTTCAATATCGAAAAATAGTAAAAGTCGTGAGAGCGAAAAATACAATTCGAAAATGATTTTTTTTAAGAGATTCGAAAAAAATGTCGACAAGATACTGTTAAATGGAAAACACAAGATAAACAGAGACGTGATAAAAACAAATGCGACACCAAAGCACAAAAGAAATCAAACAGCGGCTGCCAGAAGCGAACAAACGAATCAAAGCGGAACGGAAGCTGAGCTCAAAGCCAACCAAAACGCGGCAGCGAATTAAATTAAATCACAGCAGTGGCAGCCCCCCTGGTTCCCTCTCTTTCTATCACACACACACACACACACATGATTGATGCAGACGCCCAATACGAAATTGTTTTTGTTTCTTTTATAGCTAAATACAAAATATATAAAGTAAAACTCCAAAGACAGCCGTATACTAATTAGCACGGCACATCAACACACACACACAAATAAACATTCATACACCCATATGTATGAGCAATTCACACATACACACACATACAAAGTTGCACCTACAGGTTGATTGGATGAAATTACCTCTTTTGCATTGAATTGTATTAGGCAACTATCTCGACAAACATCTGGCGGGCTGTTGTTGCTGCTGCGCTGACGCTAATGGCAAAGGCAAAGGCAACGCCAACGCCTTCGCCTCTCCCACTTTGTTGTTGCGAATTCCAATCCGCTCTTGCAGTTTTCCAATGTGGGAACGTTTCGTTTAAGCTTCGTTTCGTTGCCAAAAATTTCGATTTTTGTGTTGATTTTGTTGCTTCTCATGTATTTTCTTTTCTCTTTACGTGTGTCTTCCGCTGTTCGATAATTTACTTTTGAATAGTTACTTCTGCGTGTGTGTGTGAGTGTGTGTTTGCAGTTATGTCAACTGTGATTGCTCTTTAATCTTCGATTCGTTTCATGTTTTGTTGTTGCAAAATTCATATGTAAATTATGGACAATGGAATGAATGTACACTCGCGCCTGATTCGTTTGACGTGTTTTCGATTTGACTATATGCCACACGTAGAACAAGGCGACCGCAAAAAAGAAAAGTCGTTCAATTAATTTATGTCGTCCGCAATTTGTCGTGTAAAATTTATATATTTAATACGCAAACTTTCGATGTGGTGTTGGTTTCTCTTCACTTCGTCGCGGCCAGTGTGTACACCCCGACATGACTGCGATAAATAAACTCCAACTGCCAACTGTTACAATGTGAGTGTGACCAGAGCGAGATAGCTGCTGAGAGTGTAGTTGATTTCAGTACGCGAGTTCATGCAACTCAGAGAAACGGTCTCTCTGTCGGCGTCGCAGTTGCAGCAATCAGAACGGTTGTGCTCGCGCTGCCACGCACGTATCGATAACTTTTCGCAAAGCGGCAGGCCAGTTGTTTATTCGAAGAATGAGCAATGTTTTATTAATTATTTTCATAATAACCTTAAGCCAGGCAACATGTGAGACACAATGTGATGCAACAGGGCAATCTACCTGCATTAAAAATGAAGAAATAGAAGTGAAGCTGAATGCAAGTAAATAAACTCAGTCTTGTTTACATCGAGTTTAGGTACTTTTCATATTTTCATATTTTTTTTAGAATTTGATAAATTCACTCGAAACATAGAGAAGGCCTTAGCCAATTACCAGCCATGCACTGCGGATGAAACTGACGTCAATTGCACCTGCTACGCGGCAGGCATCAAGCGAGATCTGGCCCCATACAAATCAACAGGTTTCACCCGGAAGATGATCGAAGACGCCGGCAAATATGGCACGCGGTACAAAATCTATGGGAAGCAGCTATTCAGGGAGGATAACTGTATGTTTCCGGCGCGCTGTCAGGGCATCGAGCACTTTCTGCTGCAGCTGCTGCCGGAGCTAAAGAACATGGATTTAGTGATCAACACTCGAGACTATCCCCAGCTGCATTCGACCTGGCAGCACAAGGGACCCGTTTTCTCGTTCTCTAAGACTACAGAGTATCTGGATATCATGTACCCCGCCTGGACCTTCTGGGCGGGTGGTCCGGCCACCAAGCTGCATCCCACGGGCATTGGACGCTGGGATTTGATGCGTGAGAAACTGGAAAAGGCTGCCAAAGCGATCCCATGGCGAGAGAAGAAGGAAATTGGATTCTTTCGCGGCTCACGCACTTCGGACGAGCGCGATTCGTTGATTTTGCTGTCCAGGCGAAAACCTCAACTGGTGGAGGCGCAATACACCAAGAATCAGGCATGGAAATCGCCCAAGGACACCCTCGATGCGCCGCCAGCGAACGAGGTCTCCTTTGAGGATCACTGCAAATATAAATATTTATTTAACTTTCGCGGCGTTGCGGCCAGTTTTCGCCTGAAGCATCTGTTCCTCTGTGAATCCCTCGTGTTCCACGTCGGCGACGAGTGGCAGGAGTTCTTCTATCACCAGCTGAAGCCTTGGGTCCACTACGTTCCCCTGCACAGCTATCCCAGTCAGGAGGAGTACGAGGACATACTCAACTACTTCAAAAGCCACGATGAACTGGCTCAGCAAATTGCCCAGAGAGGACATGAATTCATTGCTCAGCACCTGAGGATGCAGGATGTCCAGTGCTATTGGCGCAAGCTCCTGAAACGCTATGGGAAGCTGATGAAATATGATGTGAAACCAGATAATACAATGAGACGCATCAGAGGCGGCAGAGATGAGCTCTAGTATTCAAAACTTGCGATCTATAGATCTAAACACTTCAGGAGAAACTCTAACATGTTCCAATCCATTCTATCTCATTTACAAATAAGGAAACGTCTCAAAATGCAATAATACATAAAAGAAAAGCCAATTTTTCATAGAAATGTTTTCGATTTGCTTTTCTTGTACCATTCCATTCTATCTCAAGTATTAATAAGTTGAAATACCTCCAATATATAAGAAAGAAAATCCAATTTTACAATTTTTTAAAATAATTTTACTGGAAATAAATAAGTTTGGCACTATTTTAAGACGTGAAATTTTTGAAAATGATCTCTGTTCTTTTATTTCCTTCCATTCCACTAAAAATAATTGTGAATGGAAACGAACACCAGGTGCATCTATCCTTAGTTATAAATATCTAGAGTAAATGGAATATTACTTGCACTGAATGTTAATATTTGTGCAATTCCATTCTACTCCATTGATAACTTAATAGTCTTATGTTTCTAAAGTTCTAATAACAGTACTACTTTATGTCAAACTGGTAATCAACTTGACTCCACGAAAACATACAAAGTGGAACCACAGATCTGAATTAAAAAAAAAAAAAAAAAAAAAAAAAATATTTAAGCTTACTATTTCAAATGAAACTTTGGTGGATTCTGTTAGTGTGTTTGATGATGGCGATGGGCTGAGTTTAATGAATGATATTAGTTCTGGGAAAATGTGATTTTTTTTATGAGGAGGAACATTCCATTCGTTAACAACTAAATTATACGCGAATACAGACAATTATAATGTAGGATAAACATAAAAAGGTACGGAACCTAAAGATAAATACGAAATAGCGAACGCTTGGTCGCGCGCTTATTGCAAAGCGGGCATTTGTGGGTGGTAGAAATAGCTGTTTCGATGCAGTGCTTGCAGAAGATGTGACCGCACTTGGTCGAGTAGGGCTCGCGCGTGCGAACGCATTCCAGGCAGACGGGACATTTGTAGGCTTCACGGAATGAGTCCGACTTGTCTAAGTCTAGGCATTCACGCTTTGGACTCGAGGCACCAGCATCAGGCTCTGCAGCTGCTGCCGGCGGGTTGTTGTCGTATAGACGACGCCGATTGACAGCTGTGGGCTCATTGCTCGAGTCCGTCAAATTGATGAAGGCCGGAAGACGGCGGCACGGCTCCGGAGTGCACAGATCGATAACAGCCTCGGGAGTGCGAGGTCTTCCGCTGCGACGAGGTGGAATAAACTCTAGATTGGACAGATCAATAACCTCTTCGGGCTCATCTGTAAATTATAAATTAACCAAATTAATATGCAGCAAAGGTCTGCAATCCTAGTTATCGTCCGCTCATGGGAGACTTCACTGTAGTTGCACTTACTCCTGCCCGTTAAGCGATTATTACGGCGAGCATATGGATTCCTAGGCGTTGAATTGCTGCCCACTGGGCCCAGGCCAATCTGGGTCAAATTATTATCCACTTCCTCGCAGAAGAGGCGAACTAAAGCAATTGTACATGTTTTAAAAATTGAACTATTCAACCAGGTGGGCTACTTACTGCTCGCTATTTCGGCTTCAATTAGATCATGCTGAAATGAGTCGTCCGCTGCCTCCTGCAGGACGTCATCGGTTAAGTCTAATGTGTCTGTCGAGGGCTCCTCCTGAGGTGAACGATTGAAGCTGGAGCTGGAATTGTCCGATGTCATGTTCGACTCGATGGTATTCTCGGGGCTAGAGTTCGATTCGACGGTATTTTCGGGGCTAGAGTTTTCCATCAGCCCGAAAATGGGCGAGCTTACGACGGCTGCAGATGTCTGCAATTGGTGCAGCAATAGAATGAGTTTTTCCAATTTTCAGCAATACACTTACCGCAGGTGTCAACGAGTCAGAAAGTGAAAAATCTGAGAAGCTGGACATATCGCTCGGCTTGTGCAAATTTCAAAAAAGATTTAGACATTTAGGCGGCCTCATCAAAGAAAAAGACATCTATCGACAAGCAGCTGTTGATAGTCTATCGATAGGCGCTGAAATCGCTTCGAGTGTTGAGAAGCGAATCAGCTGCGATATGCCAGCTATCGATATGCCACACGTCACATCAAAACAATACTTCGAGTGTCTAGCAGAAAAACAACAATAAAAAAATTAAGAAATAGTTGACGAATCGCAGCAATGGACAAGGACAGGTTCACGCTTCAGTCCATACGGCAGGACTTGATTGATAACAATCTGCAGGCAAAGGCCATCATACAGGCAAGCGATGAATTTTATGCACACAAACATAAATGTAAACATAAACATAAATCCGCACTTCAGGACATACTCAACAGCAGGTCCTCAATCGCCGAGCTGGAGGAGCTCAATGAGGCGGGACGCGCCAAGTTGTCGGCGATACGAAAGAATATCGAACGGCTCGATGATTGGGCCAGGGACATGGGCGATCCCGCACTGGCCACAGAGGTGGACACACACCGGGAGCAGTTCTCGAAGACTTTACAGGCATTCCGCAAGGCCAACGTCTCCACCATGCTGGAGATAGAGAAGGCCAATCGAGAGGAGCTGATGGCCATCACAGGCGAGAGCGAACTGAGGCAGCGCTCCACAGGCGGCGCGCGGCACAATCGCAGCAGCCTCGTCACGCAGGAGAACGACGTCACAGAGAAAATGCTGGCCATATCGCGACACCTCTCGGAGACCACCCAGAAGAGCGCCGTCACGCTGGAGACCCTGGTCGCCTCCTCCCAGAACGTGGCGGCCACCAGCGACGAGCTGCACAACACAGCCGGCAGCATCACGCAGTCCGGCAAGCTGCTGAAGAAGTACGGGAGGCGCGAGTGCACCGACAAGATGCTGCTCTTCTTCGCCTTCTGCCTGTTCCTGGCCTGCGTCTTCTACATAGTGCAGAAGCGCCTGTTCTAGATTGTCGAGGTGTGTCTGCCTAGCAGCCGGAATTTTGCAACTAGTTTATAAATATAGTCGGTATATGATATCATTCGAGATGAGGGTGCAAAATGCTTTGCTACTTTAAGGGTTACTAATTGTAAACGCACGTATATATACATATATTTATTTCAAATCACAACTGTAAGTTTACCTCCTTGAATAAATACAGAGATTGGATGAGTTTAGTACGGACATCTGGGAACATTGCCGGGATTTGTGAAGCCATTCGTGTTGACCACGCGGCAAATCTCTTTGTAGGATCTCTCCTGGGCTCTGCCTCTGGGTCTCTGGGGTTGTCTATAGGCTGGTGAGGCGGCGGGATAATAGTAGCCTCCTCTTGGCTCGCTCTGGAAGAGTTGATCGAACAAAGTTCTGCCACTGCTGCAAGTCAGCAAAGAGAGACAGATGGTGAAATATATGAATAAAGCGCGCATTTTGACTTTTGGCGGAACTAACTTGAAATGAGCTGATTCGAGTGGATGCTGTGCTACTTATGGGTTTCCTATAACCTTGCACTATTTAAAAACAAAATTTATTGCTGGCTGATAACAGAAATTGATTCAAAAGCAATTTGCGACGTTTTACAGCACTGCCAAGCCGGCGTGCCACAGCTGACAGCAGCCAGCGGCAGCACTGGCAGAATTTGTTTGCGTTTCGTTCGGTTTGCCGGGAGATATTAAGCGTTTTGATAAATATTTATTATGAGTCGCAGCGAGCAGACATTTGAGGATCTGAAATCCTACTTTCGATCTCACAGCAAAATACGCGAGCAGCGGCCGCATATGTCAAAGGTGAGTGCGCCAATGCACGCAGCATGCCTCGATATGTTTTGCAATCTGCTTCTTCTTCGCATTCGCCTTAGGTGCATTCGGTTTGCTGGAATGCAAATGGCTGCCACTTGGCATCGGGCTCCTTTGATAAGACTGTGGCTGTCTACACCCTGGAGCGGGATCGCTTTGTGAAGAACAATGTGTTCCGCGGCCACACAGCCTCCGTGGACCAGTTGTGCTGGCACAAAACGAATCCGGACCAGTTCAGCACGGCGAGCGGCGATAAGACTGTGCGAATCTGGGACATTCGAGTGGGCAAATGTGTCTCAGTCACCAACACAAAGGGCGAGAACATCAACATCGCCTGGTCGCCCGATGGCAAGACGATTGCCGTGGGCAACAAGGAGGACCTGATCACCTTCATCGACACGCGCACCAACAAGATCCGCGTGGAGGAGCCCTTCAGCTTTGAGGTGAACGAGATCTCGTGGAACAATACGAACGACTTGTTCTTCCTGACCAACGGCATGGGCTGCATGCACGTGCTCAGCTATCCCAGTCTGGAGCACTACATGACGCTGAAGGCGCATCCCGCCAATTGCATATGCATTGAGTTCGGACCCACTGGTAAGCCCGACACAGACATGAGTGTTAAAAGCAAACAGTGAGTGAATTTGATTTTAGGCAAATACTTTGCCACGGGCTCAGCGGACGCGCAGGTCTCCCTGTGGGACGCCAACGAGCTGGCCTGCCTGCGCATGATCAGCCGACTGGAGTGGCCAGTGCGCACCATATCCTTCAGCCATGACGAGCGGCTGATCGCCTCGGCCAGCGAGGATCTGCTCATCGACATTGCGTACACGGAGACGGGCGAGCGAGTCACGGATATCCATGTGGACGCCTCCACTTTCACTGTCGCGTGGCATCCCAAGCAGTATCTGCTGGCCTATGCCTGCGACGAAAAGGAAACCATCGGCGATCGGCGGCGCGATGTTGGCAATGTCAAGATATTCGGATTCCCGGAATAATCACGGGAATTAAAGTTCGATTTGTTTGCATTTCGCATGCCTTTAACACGCCTAACAACCAGACGTGTTCTCAATTCAAAGCAGGCCAACAGGATTTGTTAGCCAACAATCAGTTTAGACTTTTGCGATGATTTCTTAACAAATCTGAAATTTGGTTTACCTCCGTCATGTTTTTAAGAGATTCTACGGCCAATAGATGTTTTGTAAAGGTTTTTTGGTAGATGAGAACTTGTTGGCCCGTCTCTTTTATATTATGCAATTAATTTAGGTAAAATAAATATGTAATTTTTCTATACGAATCACTATTGTATATATGTATGTATGTGTATGTAGTACTGAAAGTTAAGAGACTTACTGCTAGAATTGATATTGTTTTACAATAATATTGAATTACTACAGCTAAATGTTCATTAAAGTCTCCTGTTTCGGTTACATATTTCAGTGAAAGTAGTTCCACTTTCCATCTATATCTAATTCTTTAACAGATAATAGTTTGTCTACTATTAATAATCTGGGTTTTCCTTACATTTAATCTATTAGAATGATGCTTATGTAGTATATACATATATAACTTCTTATACATATATCATATATTACAATAATATATTTGTATATATATACTGGAGAATCGTATATCTACACAGGGAACATATAAGGTCTACCTGCAGCCGCATCAGATTTGACAATAGATATAATCTTATATTATATGTATTATATTTTTAAAGAGCAAAACCAAATGCCACATTGAAGCAAAGCAAAAGCTAATTATGACCAGATTATTCGGGCTTTACGACACACAAATAGAATACGGAAATTAGTGGGCATGTTGCACTCGGGCATAACTGACTGCATAATGCACATTCACAACTAAGTAAGAAATGGAAGTTAAATTAAATGGAATAGTCAATATCGGGAATAGCTGACTGCATTATAGGTAAGATATTTGCAGAATAAAAGAATATTTTTTAACAATTTTATGAAATATAAAGCTTATTTTTATAGAAATTAATTTTTTAAATTTTTAATTACATCCCATATAATCTTAATATTCCCATCTTTTACATTACCAATTACAACTCCTCAAACAGTTGTAGACATAAAACCAATACACCCCGTTCGCTTGATGGGCGCGCAGGAAGAGCATTTGCAATCAGTCAACGGCCTAAACCGCAACAGCAAACCGCAGGAGCAGAGCAGAGCAAAGCAAATGCTTGTTATATTTCAGGGTCTGGCATGTAATTAAAAAGCTGTGCAATTTGCGAAATGTTCCACTGGCTCCCAGCCTGCAGCCCTATGGCGATAGTGGCTCTCGGCCCTTGGCTTGTCTTTGCCCTTTTATCTGCTAACTTGCAAGTAGAAATGTCTGTCATATCTCCGAGATATATGTGCACACATCTCCTCGACCTACGTAGCTGCTAGCTGGTATGCACCTGTGTAGCTGTGTAGCTGTGTAACTGTGCATCTCTATATACCTGTGTAGCCCCCTCTATTCGAACTGTTTGTTGTCGTGTAATTTCAGGTCGAGTGCCCTCCAGTTCCGTTGCTTTGTCAGCATTTCTGCAGCTCATTATGAGTTTTGTAATTAATTAGGCATTTGAGCATGACAGCACGTCCTTTTCATGCTTGTTAACTCGTTTATAATGGCAAACAATCAGCTCGAACTCATTGGCCTCAGAGGCCGCACATCTATGGATTACACGAGGAAACGAATTTAATTGAGTTCCAAAGGACATTCAGATTGAGATGGAGATAGACTGAGCCCACAGAATTTTATATGTATTTACATAATTTTAATGAAATTAATTGTTATACCCTGTTCCCCCATTCTGAGAGACTAAATAGGGCTCATTAATTCATATTTAAGGCAGAAGAAGGTGAAGCTTGACCATGGTTTGAATGAATAATCGGAGCTACTGAAAAATCTGCATAACTCTAAAGTAATAATAAAAACGAAATGTAAGTATAGGAGAATACAAGTAAAAGAGTTATTATAAAGATATAAGCCTAAGACTAGTTTAATAAAGCGGAAACAGTAGAGGTCATAATGAAAGTTGTACTACAAATGTTCTTTTTGGCAAGAGCAAATGGTGGAGTGGCTGGCCAAAAAATATAATAAAATATCTTTAAAGTCTAACTCAAAGCCAATCTAGTATCAGAGACATTTCCATATTTATCTAGGCATTTTCCGCATAGAGTACCAAGTTTTCAATTTATTTATTTTCCTTACACTCTACTACA